CAAAAATTGACACCCCTAAATAATATATATCATCATATTTAAAAAATAATTATATAACTAAAAATTAAAAATAAAATAGTTATATAAATAAGATAAAAAATGGACTATTATTAAAAAGGATTGGACCTTGGAAAAAACAAACCTAAATACCTAATAGTTTGACCTTTGAAGATATGGAAATCATTTCATTTAGAAACGTGGTGTAAAGTTTGGATAATGATTGGGCTTCTATTCTGTTAGCGGAAGGGCTTCGTTGGAAGACCTTGACTTGGTGACGGGTAAAAGTTTGACCATCCTTTTTCCTTCACTATTACTTGACGAATTGGCAAATGAGCTCAAAGATAACGAAAGTGAATATTTGATAGTTTTGAATATTTTTTAGTAAGGTTTGAAATATTGAATTTACATACCGGGCTTCATAATTATTATATATACTTTTCTTTAATTTCAACATTTATAAAATAGATCTCCTAATATAATGTATAGTCAGTGGTGGCGATCAGCAATGAGCGGTGACGACGGATGTCAACGACAAAGATAGTGATAGATAAATGCTTCTTTTGTGATAAAATTTTATCACTTTATTTGTTGATTTAAAAAAAAAATTGTACTAAAAAATTGTTATGAAAAATAATCAGAAAGCTATCTCAAAAGAAGCCAAACTATAATTTATTTGAAAATGCCATATTTATATCACAAGCTTGTGGCAAATTATAAAGTTTTTCCTATTGTGATGAAAAAAGAAAGTGGACGTGAGCCATTGGCTTGACGTGAAAACTACATAGGAGATAAGGGGATACCTTGAAGCTAGTTAATCATGCCTAATTATATCACTGAACACTATGGTCTAACTACTGTCACCCGATTACAGTCATTGATGAATACTCCAACAATTGCTGACTTCATCAATTTATATTGTCAATAATATCAATGCACACTGACTCTCAACTACAGTATCATAATTTATGTTGGATGTCCACCACAGGGCTCTCCCAGCTTCAGCCATATAATATGTTTTTTACTCCATATATTCTCTTAAAGAAGGGTATTATGCATTTGTAATCAACGACAAACACTAGTGAAATTATTTTAGTTGAGCTAGACCTTATGTTATTTCATTCTTCTTTATTTTCCGAGTAAACATAAATCTTTGCACAAAATTAAGATATAAAACTTTATATCTCTCTACTATCCCGAATATTCCGGCATGTACCAATATATGCATGTTTGTATATAATTTATATGTGTTGATATACTTATTAATTTATATATTATATATAAATTACATGTACTTACATATATATGTACATAATAACATGCATTATATTATATAATTTATATGAGATTTTCAAATAAATTTCATATTCATGAACATATAAATTAATAAAGCGAACATAAATAAATAACTTATCACCTTTACAACCTTACCTCAGCTGTCTTGTTGTCCTCTTAGAAATTTCAACCTTTATATTTTATGATATTTGTTGAAATTTCAACCCATATGGTGTGATATAGTGGTGGCGTAATTTCGATTTTATTCGCTCGATCTGCATTGCGTGTATGGTCTATCCTTCTCTATATCTAAAAGACTTTGAATGGGACTCACATTAATTGAGCTTTTATAATAATCTTTGTCATTTTGTGATGGATCATGACTCTTACCTGTATTTTTTTCCTTTCCATGTGCAGTTAATATCATTTTGCTAGTTTTTTTTAACATTATAAATGGAAGCTAATCCTTTTGATAGAATTAAAAAGGTAGAATAAGACGATTTTTTGCTACAATAATATTCCTTCTCTCATTTTGTATTTCTGCTAGCAAATTTGTGTATTATCATAATGAAGATGCTCTTGAATTACTAAGCATGTTTTCAATTTTAATATCTAAATAAATTCATGAAAACTAAAAGTGTTCTATGTGATCTCCAGCTACCCAGGCAACTTGTTTTTTTTTTTTTTAACAAAAATAAAACTTCGTTAAAAATGTAAGAGGATACAATCAGGAACCTACGTAAACAACAGTAGCCGAAAAACCACCAATAAGAGAAATAACCTCAAAGGGAAGAAGGTGGAAATGAGGAAAATAAAGCCAGGAAAAGGACGAGTGCCCACCAGACTGAGGTATGAGGCCTCGCACACCCACCGCAGGCCAAGCAAGGACCTTCCATTGGAGGCAACACAGATGGAGCCTAAACAAACCATAACACAAAACTCAACCAAAGTCACCAAAACTGCAATGAGGAAAGACCACAAAGGTTGTCATCATGCAAGGGAAGGAGGTAGCGCACAGAAGCCTCTTCATCATTGTCTAGAAAAAAAAGCCAGAAGATATACTATCAACTCAACATATTAAAAAACACTAAATCATGCCGCAATCAATAGCAAAGGAAAAAATAAAACCAACAACCACCCCAAACCAAATGGAGTGATCATTTCTTCTTCGATTTCTTGTGTTTATGCTTATTTTTCTTGGTAAACAAACCAACGTCAGCAATTTGAAGAATACTAAGATCAAAGTTCTCACTTTGGTGTCAGGCTTTCTCATCAAAATTCTCCCTAGAAGTTGAGGAATGATCATCATATAATTAGACACCATGCTTAACTTTTGGATACCTTGTATTACCAATTAAATGAGCAATCAAAGCATCCTTTGATAGAACAAAAATATGAACCTCAACAAGAGGTGAACCAAGATTTTCTATCCTAGGATTAACACCCTTAGGTAGAATCACTAAAAAGAGGAGTAACCAAATTAATTCAGCACCCATACTATAATTAGAAGCTGAAAATCCATCTGCAAGAGATACATAAGCACGGTTCCAATGGATTGGGGGGGGGGGGGAGTAGAATCATCAGGAAGTGCAGTTTTATCATCATTAACATCTACATTAGAATCAGGAGGAACGTGAGGACAAGCTGCCAAATTAAGTAAGCAAATGTTATGGACACAAACCTCAACAACATCCTCATTAATACCACATGAATCAGCTTCACAAGCCACAAATTTATCCTCATTATTGCCACAAGATTGAGCTAACGGCAAGGCAACAGTCAAAGACACATCAATCACATTAACAACTTACTTAGAAGGATCACGCAAAACATCCGTAGAGGGCACAATTAAAAGCCCCTCCCCACCAATAGGCAAATGGTCATTAGAAACGGGATCAGCATGATTAACAATCAAGGGTATTTTGCTACCATCATTAACAGACTCAGCACCAACATCAGTATGTGTAACCAATTGCGGGTACAAGATATGGCATTACAATTTGGAATGCCACAAAGATTTATAGTGATAGTAATACGACAACAAATCCTCCATAACCACATATTGGATAAAACCCAAATTGTCTGGACTAACCAACACCATATTTGAAAAATGTTTGGAAACATCTAATTCCACTGTCACACATGCAACCGAAGGTCTAGAACCAGCGAAGGTGGCATGATCAATTTTGAGGGGGCTGCCAAAAATGGACCCAATGCCATGAAGAATCCTAGGCAAGAAAAGATGAGATAAAGATTTGGGAAAGACACCCAAATCAGAATAATAGGCGACTCAACATCAAAATCCAGTAAAGATGGCCACTTAATCAACCTCATGTAACAATTATTGATAAAATAGGAGCAATGAGCAATGACATGATAATAATCCAAATTGTTCACAAGCTTGATTAACACATTATTTGGATTAAGAACAGTTATCGAAAAATCACCAATGAGCTTAAGTTTGAAAAAAGAATTTGTGAATAGCTTCAAGGGAGGGTCGATGGGTAGGAAATTTTTCAACCAAAGCGAAATCAAAAAGTGCAGCAAGCGCAAGAATTTTTGCCTATGAAATCCACATTGAGGGAAAACCACAATGAGTATTGATTTTCAGGTCAGGAAAAGAGGAAGAGCTACTAGATAAAGCATCACAAAAAGACCTAATAGAAGTTTTGTCATCCAGAAAATCGAGATCTACTAAATGCTTATTGACCATCGACAAGGCCCGAGAAAGCACGAACAACTCAAGGAAAGCACAAAAGTGAAAGGCAAAAAACCACCCTGAACCGTGTGGCGACGTCCGAGGCCACAGACAAGGAAGAAAAACTGGGAGCACACGCGGGGGAGAAACCTTAGTAGAGCTCCAAACACACCATTGACTCCTGAATGTTCCATATATAATGAAATCATTGGACAATTACTAAGGATATTCGTCGAAAATATAGTCCTCCGCTCTAGCTACCAAAATGGGTTAATAGGTAACTATCACAACTCTCATTGGTCATTCATTAGGGGTGTCAAAATGGGTTAACATGTAGAGTTCGAATTCGACCCAAAATTAATCGATCTGTTTAATAAACGGGTCAAAATGATGGACCCGAACCCGACCCATTGGCAACCCGAATAATTTGAACCCGACCTAGCAATAACCCATTTAAATAAAAAAAATAACTATTTAATTATATAACTTATATAAATTGCTAAAAAATAAGGAGAGTATACTAACATGCAAAATAATTTGAGGGAAAAAAAAACCTAACTTTCGGGTCAAAATTAATTTTGAGCTAGAGAGTTGTCAAGGAAATTAGAGAGGACGGTATACTGTTCTCGCTCAAAATTTGATAAAAATGCTCTATCTAAAAAATGAGTTAAAATGAAATACACTGCTTTTCAATTACTTTAAATTTGTTTTTCATTCAACCAAGCATAAAATTTTTTTAAAAATAATGCATTTACTATAATTTACATTCACTTAACTTTCAATCAAACAGCCCCTTAAGAAAATATTAAGAAATCATTATTTTCTCCAACTCTTTTTATTAAGTTCACCTATTGTTTTTTTATTATTATTATTTGGATCCAGTCTATGTATCTGCTTTTTAATGTGTAATTCTACTGCAAACATAAATGAGTCATGCAAAATTACTCGTAACTATTTCCCAAAACTTCTCTTATACAAAGAAAAATATTTTGCTGTTTCTACTAAAGCTCAAAATAAACAACTCAACTTCTAGGGATGTTGGAATTTAAGATTAAATTCACAAAGGTCCAATATTTTTAATATTTTACAAACACACCCAAGGATTTTCTCTCTCACTGAACGAACAAAAACAGAGCTACAATACTGAGTGACGTCACATATAATTTACAGCTCAACATGCTATTATATGCAAGAATATTGTTTTCCAATTAGAATTAATACCCGCCATTACCATTCAAATCACCATTAACTGCGGAAACCCTAGCGTTGGGTGCGGAGATATCGGCGATAACGGCGGCAAGCTGAACAGCCCCTTCACGTCTGCGTTCTCCCACACGGCGGTCCAACTTGACGGCGTCAAAACCTCACCGTCCGGAAGATTCCTCTGTGCCTCTTCTGTTCTCTGCATCTTCACTGCCAGCATCTGCGGCTCCTCCTCCTCCTTCCTCTTTCTCTTCTCCGGCGAGCTTCGAACCTCGTTTGGAAAATTGAGAATCGCCTTGCTTCCTCTCATCTCGAACGCGGCACAGTCATAAGCCCGCGCGGCCTCCACCGCTGTATCGAACGTGCCTAGCCAAACTCTAGATCCCTTTCGTTTGGAATCGCGGATCTCTGCCGCGAACTTCCCCCACGGCCGCTGCCGCACGCCGCGGTATCGCCGGCCTTCTATCCAATCGGGTCCGGATCCGGATGGTTCGATCCACTCCACTTTCGGGGCGGCGGGGCGGGGGATGTTGAGAGTGAGTCGGAGATCGGAAGGCGAGGATGGCGGGGTATTTCTGCCGGATCGGATCATCGAAACGGGCGAGTCAACGACTTTGAACTCGCTGGTGAAAGGTTCAGGGGAGTCGAGATAGTCGGAGATGGTGATGTCAGCGGGAGCTGCCGCCGGAACTGGTGGAGGAGTGGGGATGGCTTCCAGGATGTCGTTGAGAGAAGTGCCGGCGGCCGCGAAGAGTTGATCTAGGGGGGGTGAATTTGAGGACGGCATAGGTAGAGAACAGCGGGGAGTGGAAAAAGAAGAGGATAGGTGGATGAGGAACTAGAGGAAGAATAGGCTTATATGTAGCTTCGGAGGAAAGAAAATATTGGATTGTAGCCAGTGGGTTTGAAAGGTCTTCGGATATTGAATAAGTTTTCGAAGATAAAAAAAGGTCAACTTTTCTGTCGTTAAAATTGAAGGGTAGAAAAATTGGTAGGAGGAAAGAGACCTGACGGGATTTCGAGTCACAGTAAAGGAGAAAAATACGGATTTTTCGTCGGGTTGGGCATAAATTTTTTTAAAATTTACGTTAAATTAGTGCATCGAAAATTCTAGAAAGTTAAGCTCATTTTGACAAAAAAAAATTGTGTAATTTTTTAAGGAAAGGATCATATGACAATTGAGGTCTTGGGATCATAAATGGATATTTGACACTTTAAAATAATGAAATTTATTACATTGTAATTTGTAAAAAATATATTTAAGTGATAAATGGTAATAAGAATCATTTTGTATGTTATTTTAAAAAGACATTATAATTAAAAAATATATATATATTTCCCCAAAAAAAAAAAAAAATATATATATATATATATATATAAAAAATATATATATATATATTACAAAAGGTAGTTAGATTAAGGATCTTTTTGGTGAGAACTTATTACGTGCGGTTATCGGACGCCGTCTGGATGCAAATCAGGACACGCCACGTAACCATTTTATTGTGTATCGGTGTTATGTACCAGGTGATGCGACGCATCTTGATTCGCCTCCGGATGGTCCGGTCAAGTGATCGCATGTTATAATTTCTCCTTTTTGGACAATGTTTTAAATACTGCTATTTTCTCAAAATTTTCCAAAATTTTTTATGAATTAAACTTCTTTTTACAACCAAAATAGCTAAGTAGCCCTAGTGTCGCCTGTCTGTTTGCTGGTGAAGGATTAGGTTCCTCCGTTTGGTTTTTCTCAGGTGATCTCTCCCATTTCTTCTTGCTCTTATTCTTCTCATTTGGTTCTCGATCTCTCACTATGGTTTCCACCTCTGTCGCCTCGTCGACCGAATGGCGGTTCCACGGTTGCAAGATCCGAATTTCCTAAATGAGAAGCTACATTCTTGCTCGTTTTTGGAGGTTTTGTCCGGAACTTCTTCTTTGAAGGGTTTTCATGCTCTTAAAAACTCAACATGTCATGGGCTTCCTTCCCTTTGGATTTTCGAAGAGGAAATGTTAGCATTAGCAGCTCCTTTTGAATTTGCTTAAGTTGGTAAATTCTCTGATTGTAGGCCTTCACTTGATTCGATTAGGACCTTCTTTTTCAATCTTAAGCTTAATGGAGTTTTCTCTGTTACCCTTCTAAATCCCAAGCATGAATTGATTAAAGTTGAGAATGATATGGATTATAGTCATGTTTTCTCTCATCAATCGTATTTCGTGCATAACTGTTATATGAAACTTACCAAATTATAGTCCTTTTTTTTTTGACAACAATATGGATTATATTAATCTCAATATAACTTTATAAGATATCATAAATGATACGTCATACTGAAATTATCTTGATTGGGCATGAATCTCGAGGAAAAATCAGTTCAGAAACTTCAAAAATTAAATTTGAGAGCATATGAACTCTGATTTCAGCGAGTCTACAGTCAAACTGAGCGTCTCGGAAAGATGAATCCAACGACACCAAGATCAACCCAATCCGAGACCAAATAAGTCCGAATCAAGGACCCGAAGCGCTGTTGGAAGGTTCAAATAGAAATTTGAGTTACCAAACGGTCTCCAATTTTGACGAGCTTATACTCGAATTGAACGGCTCGACGAGAAGAATCCAACAAGCCCAAGATCGCCAAATTCCGACATCATTAAGGCCTTCAAATGCCCAACGAACGATGCTTGATCAAAGGATTCGATATCGGCCGTCCATTCATAACACTCCCAATTCGCCCCTGATGTCACACCTATTTACGGGCTATGCCACTCTAAAAAAACTATAAATAGAGCCCTCATTCTACACCAAAGGGAAGAAAGGGAAGAGAGAGAAGAAGAAGAGAAGAAGGAGGAGAAGGAAGAAGCTCCTCCTCGACCACCGCCGGAGCTCTTCCTGCCGCCCGAACACGCCGGGATTCTGCGTGATATTCGGGAGAACGCAGGAATTCTTCCCAACTTCCTCGTGATGCTGAAATTCTTCCCAATTTATAACAGAGTTCCCTTCTGACGCTAAAACTCTGCCCAAGTGAAGCCGGAGTTCTCCTTTGCCACCAACAGACGTCGGACTTCTACCCGACGTTGAACCTTCACTCTTCGCCAAGTTTCTACTCGACGTCGGACTTCTACCGGTTATCAGACTTCGCTGGACGTCTACGCGAAGATGGATTTCTTTCCATTGTTGGACTTCTACCCGACGCTGTCCTTCTGATCTTCGTCGTCAGACTACAGTCTTTCCGACCTCCGTAGCCCGCCGACTACGGTCCTCCTAACTTATGTCGCCCGCCAAATACAGTTCTTTCGATCTCCGTCGCCCGCCGACTACGGTCCTCCTGACTTATGTCGCCCGCCGACTACAATCTTTCCGACCTCTGTCGCCTGCCGACTATGGTCCTCCTGACTTACGTCGCCCGCTGACTACAGTCCTTCCGACCTCCGTCGCCAGCCGACTACGGTCCTCCTGACTAACATCGCCCACCGACTACAAGCCTTCCGACCTCCGTCGCTCGCCGACTACGATCCTCCCGACCAAACGAACATGTCAATAGTGATTCTTTATATTTATATCATGTAATGTACTCTATAAAATGTACATCAAGCTAAGGCCTTCTCCCATGGAAGGGCCTCATTTGTAATCGACTGCAATACTAGTGGATTCATTCAAACTGGGCTAGGCCCCATGGTTTTTCCCCCTTTTCAGGGGTTTTTCACGTAAAAATTCTTGGTGTCTCATAAATGCTAGACCATCTCACTTATCTGATTGTGTGCTGGATCTTCGTACAATGCTAAGATGTTAAACTATATATTTCTCTACCGCCGCGATTATTCCATGACACAACAATAAATTATATTAATCTCAATATAATTTTAAATTTTACTAACATAAATTAGGTCATAATATAATTTTTTTCTCCAACCAGCGGACAAACTTTCAATTAAAGGATATTGACCAATCCAAACAGCACAATCATCTTAGAGACTGACTTGGCCAACAATAACGGCTAGTTCAAACCTAATATTGTCTTCCACACTTTGCATTTAATCAATGTTTTTTTT